TCTTGTGGAGACCACTGAGGCTGAGGAAGCTATCCCAGTACAAAAGACTGCTGACACATCACTGGTGAAGGAGATGGCTGGGAGAGGGGGTAGAAGGAGGACTACACTGACAGCTAGTCACTTCTGAGGCTATGGCTACACTGCCTTTTTTTTTGGAAGAAAATATGCAAATCATACATTTGCATATCATCTTCTGATTCTTTTTGCAGAAGAGGTTTTTCCTTTAAAGGCCATGTGTAGACGGGGCCAAATGTCAGGAAAAAAAAACCTTTTTCACATGAGTCTGTAAAGGTCTTTTATCGGCAAAACCTTTTCTGCAAAAAGAATCAGAAGAAGATATACAAATGTGAGCACAATTTGCATATCTTCCGCGAAAAACAGCCGTGTAACCGAAGCCTGAGGAGTGGTGGAATCTCAATCTCAAATCCTGATTTGACAAAGCCCTGACTGGGATGATTTAGGGTACGTCTAGACTACCGGGTTTTGTCGACAGAAGTTTTGTCGACAGTATCTGTCGACAAAACTTCTGTCGACAAAGAGCGTCCAGACACATTGAGTTCTGTCGACAAAGCAAGTTGCTTTGTCGACAGAACCCTGTAGTCCAGATGCAACCCTACAGGCAATAACACCTTCTGTCGACAGAACTCTTTCGACAGAAGGTGTTATGCCTCATAAAATGAGGTATACCAGCGTCGACAAAACTGCTGAGTTCTGTCGACGTTATGTCGACAGAATTCAGCGGTAGTGTAGACGCTGGTATAGTTTTGTCGACAGAAGTCCACTTTTGTTGACAAAACTCAGTACAGTGAACCCTCGTTTATCGCGGTAGATAGGTTCCAAACCCGACCGCGATAGTTGAAAATCCGCGAAGTAGGGACATGTATATTTAACATGTATACAGCGAGCCCTCGCTACTTCGCGGTTCGACCATCGCGGATTCACGTATATACATAATGTAATGAAAAAAGTCCGCGAAGTCGTGAATCCGCGATGGTCGAACCGCGAAGTAGCGAGGGCTCACTGTAGTCTAGACACACCCTTAGTTAGGGTTGGTTGGTCCTGCTTTGGGCAGGGGCTGGACTTGATGATCTCCTGAGGTGTCTTCCAGCT